TATTCACTTGATGGCTTGGAACGGGTGTGTAAGCCAAAGGCTGCGGGTGGCTTAGGGCTGAGGATGGCCAAAGACATGAATAGAGCTCTCTTAGCAAAGGTGGGGTGGAGAATATTACGGGACAAGGAGAGCTTATGGGCCCGGGTGCTGAGAAGTAAATATAAGATTGGAGAAGTTCACGATGTTACTTGGTTGAAGCCTAAGGGTACCTGGTCGTCTACTTGGCGGAGCATCGGGGTTGGGCTGTGGGAGATGGTAAGCGGATTCGGTTCTGGAAGGATAAATGGTTACTGGAGAAACCACTCTTGGACTGGGCGTCGGAGGTGCTTCCCGAGGAGGAGAGGGAGCGATACGCAGAGGAGTATTGGACGGAAGGATTGGGATGGAATATGGAAAGGATCGCAGATTTTATCCCTGAGCATATAAGGCAGAGACTGTATGCAGTGGTGTTGAAAGGAGTCCCGGGTTTAGAGGATAAATTGACATGGAAAGGGACAGAGAATGGGAAATTTACAGTCCGCTCTGCATACTCAATGATAAAGGAGGATGGAAAAGAGGGACCTTTGGTGGCGAAACTGTTTGAAAGGATTTGGCGTGTGGTGGCTCTGGAGCGGGTTAGGGTATTTCTATGGTTGGTGGGGAATCAAGTAATACTAACCAATATGGAGAGAGAAAGACGTCATATGGGGGATTCGGAGATCTGCCCCGTGTGTAGTGGTGCTCCGGAATCAATCTTACATGTGCTAAGGGATTGCCCTGCCATGGCTGGACTCTGGCAGCGGTTGGTCCCTCGGCGAGAGAGACAACAGTTTTTTGAGAAATCATTGCTTGAATGGGTGTACTCGAATTTGATAGCTACACCATAACAGGGGAATGAGGGCTGGCCTACACTGTTTGCGATGGCGATATGGTGGGCCTGGAAATGGCGGTGTGGTGATGTTTTTGGCGAGAGAGGTTTGTGTCGGGATAGAACACGGTTTGTGAAAAACTTGGCTACGGAGGTGACGAAGGCTCACTTCTTACTGAAGGCGGGGTCCCAAGTTAGAGATCGGGTAGAGGAGCAGATCGCATGGAAGAAACCGGGTGAGAGTTGGGTCACAATTAATACCGATGGGGCGTCTCGCGGTAACCCGGGGCCAGCGACGGCAGCTGGAGCTTTGCGGGAAGGTAATGGGACTTGGTTAGGCAACTTTGCTCTTAACATTGGGATTTGTACGGCTCCAGTGGCGGAGTTATGGGGAGTATACTACGGGTTGGTCATAGCATGGGAAGGAGGGTTTAGACGAGTGATTTTAGAGGTGGACTCGGCTTTGGTGGTGGGTTTTTTGCAGTCAGGGGTTGAGGATACTCATCCACTGGCGTTCCTGGTACGACTGTGTCATGGCTTTATCTCAAGTGACTGGTTAGTCCGGGTTACGCATGTATATAGGGAGGCTAATCGGTTAGCGGACGAATTAGCAAACTATGCTTTCTCTCTACCATTGGGTTTTCAGCATTTAGATGTTTGTCCGGAAGATGTTGCTCCGGTTTTGTTAGACGATGTTAATGGGGTCACACGCCCAAGACTTGTTCGTGTGTAATTTGCTTTAGTTTTTTGAATAAATCATAGGAGGCATTACCTCCTATTCCTTACCAAAAAAAAAAGAGTTGTGAACATGTTAATTCGGAAAATGAAAAATAATAATAAACCCAAACTCTAATTTTAATTAGCGTAATAAGCACCAAAAAACTTGATTAAGAAAAAGAGTTTAAGATATTCAACTGTAATTTTCTAAGCTCCATGACAAATGAAGAAGCATCATTAATGGCTGCACGAGCTGAAACCAAAGCTTCATGGAGCTCGGTGTTAACGAGATAATAAGAACATATCTCTTTGAGGATCACATCATGACGTTCTTGAAGTCTTGCTACATTCTCTTCCGCAGCGACCAAAGCCTCATTTACGAGTTTTAACTTCTCGATGGCGCGATGTCTCTGCCTCAATATGGGATTGAAAGCAAAGAAGAAGGAGCCCGAAAGAGCAATTGTAGATAGAAGTAGGATGGTTCCATAAAGATCCATGAATGGATTAATGGGTTTGGTAAAAGAGAAGAATATATAAAGTAGATTCATTACTTAAGAGGGTTGAGATTATTATTCTTTGCTTCTCCATGGATGCAACTTCTTCGAAGAAGGTCCTCGTGTTCGCTTTTTTCGGGGTTTCCTTTCTCTTCGGGGCTTCCTTTCTCTTCTCTCTAACCGCTGGCGCCGGATCTCTGGATCTGCCCATCCTTTTCCCCATTCAGAGAATCCGCTGTATGTTCTGTCTTGTTTCAACGAAAGTAGCATGTCGGCTTCTGGATAAACATAGAGTGGTTTGTCATCTTCGAAATCTAGTTGCTTCTTCCCTTTTTCTGTTGGTTTTATAAATTTAATCTCAACTCGACGATCCTGCAACACAGATCAGTAACACCGAATATGTGATTGTAGCTTTACCGATAAAAGGGATCATGAAACTAAAGAAGAAAGGTTGGTTTTTTGGTTACTAGTGTACTTTACCTTGTTATCCATCTCTTTGATGTACCCCTTGGCTTCCATGATACGGGCAAGACCTTTCCACCAAAGACAATCTGTTTCCTTGAATTTTTGACACTACACTAACCAAAGGCATCACATTAATATAATCAAGAACATAATGCACTATGTAATTTGTTGAAACAGAAGATTTACCTGTTCCCTGATTTTACTGATGAAGAACAGAAGATTTGGCTTGTGGGATAATTTCTTTTGTTTGCTGTTGCCGAGTCCATAATCTTCATATGGTGCATGCTCAGAGTCATTGTCTACCTGCAACTAATATCCTAGCAGCTTAAGTTCCAGAAAGAAAAGTTATAGTAGAAGAAATCTCAATTACTAAATATCTTTCATTGTAAATCAATCATACGAAAGGAGCAAACTTTTAAATTAAATTCTGGGACTAGTCAAACGACTTACATGAAAAGCATTGATTACTTGAAACAAAAGATTAGCTTCCTCTCGTACATTTACTTGCTCCGGAGGCCCTTCAGTGCAAACATCACATCTGTTTAAAAGATTGAAAAAGCATTAAGACAGTAGTTTACCTTAATAATTTCTAGAAGAAAGGATAGGATAGGACTTACAAGTTACACTTCTTGGAACTAAAATCTTCCCCAAAGTACTCCACGAGTATTTTCGCTCGACATTGTGAAGTCTTCATTCCATATCTGCATAAGAAAAAGGAGAATGAATATAAAAGAATATAGAACGATAAGTGAAATACACACCTGCATGTATATGAAAAATATAGAGACCTAAAACAATCAGATAGCATCTTATATGCTTGCTCTGTCTGTTCTTTGCTCCTACGGCTTGGCAAAAGCGTTGGTGCTCTCGATAGATCAGCATAGAGCACTGTAAATCCCATATAATTACTTTCATTCAGCCATAGCAAACAAGAGTAAATTTCGCAGCCAAAAGAGAAATCATTAACCAACTCACCACACTCAGCCAATTCGCCATCTCTTCCAGCTCGACCAGCTTCTTGGTAGTATGCTTCCAAGCTCTGTAGTTTCATTATTTCAATGAGATGTAGAAGAGAGGACAACAAATTTGCATAGCACGTGATTCGCAGAGATGGAAAATGTTAAATATGAAAATCTTATAAGAGCTTCAGGAGACCTGCGGCCAACCATAATGGATGATTTTCCGAACATTTTTCTTGTCAATTCCCATTCCAAACGCAATTGTGGCAACAACAACCTGCAGAGGAGTAACATAACGATAGTGATCTTCCACATAGTATTAGTATTCAGATAAAAAGAAGCAGGAATAGCGAAGTGGATAACAGAGTAAATCATTAAGTTTGAGCCATAACATATAAGAACATTAATGTTATCTCTGTAGATACCTGAAGCTTATTTTCGTGGAAATCCTGGTGAACTTGTCTAAGATGTTTTTTTGGCAACTGTAAAACGTATCAAAGTGTTAATGCAGCCATAAGCCCATAACAACATTTAATAAAAAAAACATTTAATTTGGAATACAAAATTTTCCATCAGAAATTAGAAACAAAATTTCTACAACCAAGTTAACAAAAGTTGACAATTTTCATTCCTAAAAACAGTGCAGAAGGCTTCTGAAAGCAAGAAAAAGTAAGATTTCTCAGTCCATACCGATGCATTATAAGCTGCAGCCTTCAGTCCAACCCCACAAAGATATTTAGCAATGTTGACACTCTCCTTTCTTGTAGGAACGTATATGATTGTCAGTCCTTCCAAATCCTTTTGCTTTTCAGAAGGGATAGGTACATCCAGGAGTTCACAAGGAGGCATTGCGCAAAACTCGCCACAAGCCACTGCAATGATTAAATCTTATCTAAATCACCATTTCTTAACACCAATGATTAAAAACTCATAGAAAAATCCTCCAAGACTATTAATTTTGTTGTCTGCATATATTATTTACTTTTGATAAGTGAAGTTGAGCCTTTTTCGCCAATTTGAATTGCACAGGAGGTGACAACTTACTTAACCAAGGGAAAAATGGTCAGTTGCCAAGTCTATTTATTTTACTAACGCTATTTTCAATTTAGTTACATGCACTCACCAATTTTCTAATCAAAGGTTATGTAATTTTATCAACCGCTTTAGATCGCTCTCTGTTTCCAAACAAAACTGAAAAGGAGCTTACCATCCCAATCATCAACACTCTGGAAAATGTCGGTTTCATCTTCCAGATACTCTTCTGACAATTCTTTCCCATTTGAACTGTTTTTCTTTGCCAGAGAGTTTTCTTGATCCTCTTCATCCTCATCATAATCTGTCTCATGGATGTTTTGAGCATCGTGATAACCAAAATCAGTCTGCTCCTCTGACTCTCGTGAGATTACTGCTAGCTTTTTCCCGGTAGACTTTTTCTTTTCAGAGTATAAGTCAATTAAGTTTTGGAAGTCCTTTGCATATGAAGATGCAAACTTGGTTCGACTATGTTTAACCTGTAAATAACAGTGAAATATCAGCTTTATGATGTACATCTCATCATCCCCATATCAGCATCAAGCAGAAAATTACAGATTAATCTGCTAATCTTATGCTAGTTTACAAATGCCAAAAGAATTAATCTGAAATTAACTCTACGCTGGAAACTCACTGAAAATTGTAGATTTGGCCTGAAAAATGAAGTAAGCACAGTTTGTGTTTCCTTTGACAGGTGAAGTGACTCAACAATATCTTCCTGTACGTGAACTGTGGCTGTAGCAGTCAATGCCATTATCGGTACATCGTATTCCAAGAATTCCAAATTGCTGGCACAGAAGTTTTCCCGCAACACAGATAATCTCCTAAAGATCCGGCAGCAGGAGGTTTGTTTAAGATTACCCACAAGAACAATTCAAAGCAATAATACTTACAAGTTTGAACAGTCAAAATCATACCTGTAGTGCGGACGAAAATCATGTCCCCACTTTGATACACAATGCGCTTCATCAATTGCAAAAAGAGCAATTCCATGAGTCTTTGCAAGCTTCTGGAGTGGTTTAATCAGTCTGCGATTAAGTATTGATCTTTCTTAAAGCAAGAACACAATAATATGAACGCACTTAAAAGAGGATTTCAGGAAGTTGTGATGTGTAGTGTACCGAACCACTGTCTCAGGGCAAACATATATAATCTGATACATTCCCTGCATTGCTTTTTCTTCTATGCAAGTATCAAGTTGGCCTGAACCAAGAAAACAAGCAGAGACTCTGTGCCTTGATAGCTTGAGGCATTGATCATGCATCAGGCTTATCAAAGGTGAAATTACAACAACAACTTTTCCAGTTAGTAATGCAGGAATCTGGAAACAAAGAGATTTCCCTGCGTGGTGAAAACATAAAAACCACAATTAGAATGTTATTGACTTCATGTAAGAATGAAGAATTCATCAGCCAAAAGAAAAAAGGAAACTACCAGATCCCGTTGCAGCTAGAACAAGACAGTCCTCATGAGCAACCCATGTTGACAAAGCCTCTCTTTGGAAACTTCTCAGGGATGAAATACCAAAACGGTTTTGTAGTATAGAGTTAACTCTTGTCTCCCACGTTGATGAAGCCTCAGAGCAACCATTTGACAATTCTGTTTCAGGAAAACAACTAGACTCCAAAAACACTGGAGCAAGAGACTTTATCTGCTCTTTAGAAGTATCGGACACCGTTTCTAACTGAGAATTCACTTCTGCAATCCCAAAGGTGTTGCCTTTTTTCTTGTTCTGGTCCACAGATCTAAAATGGTCAAGCAAACTAGACTGACGCTTTGAACCCGAAGAAAACGAAGATGGCATAGCTCTTTTACCAAGAATCTTATTACTCCCTATAGAACATAATGAACTAGCCGGCGCAGATCCACCAGTTCTATCATGTCCCTTCAAAATATACTCCACAGCATCATCACATGACTTACCACCTACAGCTTTCACAGCATCCAAAGCATCCAACTTTTCAAAACCCATTTCAACAAGCTTCATAACAACATGATCAGAAGACAAATCCATCGAATTCACACTGTTCAGGCAACTAAAAGACAGTCCTTTATACGGATCCTACAACAAGTTGATTCTAGTAAAGCATTATGAGGCATTACACAGCATTTGGAGAAGTTCCAGAAACCATTAATTGATCTGAATGAAACCCAAAGAAACGAGAAAACTGTAATGACTCGTATATAACTACTGGTTAATCCCAAATTCCAGAACTCTAAACCCTAGTGATTTTGTTCTTGTTTGAATTAGCTATGAATGCTCCACCACCAATTTCTCGCCAAAAACACAGACCTTTTGAAGTTAATCAGAGACCAAAAACGACAATTTTTCTGGGAAATCGCAAGCGAGAAGATAGATACAAACGAATTGGGAATCACAAATAAGAACCCTAGGCGCCAAAATGAATCACTAAAAGGGGTGGGTATTTGAACCGAACCGACCAAGCTCAAACCGACCCACACCAAACCATAAGTTACATTTAAACCATTCAGTTATGTTTTTTACCGTTTTCTCATTCTTAGTGGTTCGGTTCGGTTCTGTTACCGATAATCTAAGTTAATGTTTTTAGCAAAAACATTTATAAAATACGAAGTTAATGTTTTTACTGACAATGTAAAAATAATTAATTCTCTTAATTATTTTTATTTCACTTTTATTTTAGTTTTGAAATTAAAAAAACTAACTAATTATAATAATCAATTTATTAAATATATATACAAAATTTATTTAAGATGAATATAGAATGTGTTTTACTCTTTAATTATACAATACCATAAAAGATTCAATAGAATAATTTTTTCTTTTTGTTTTTAATATTAATATTAAAAAAAAAAAATTTAAATATTTTTGTTGGTCAATGCCGGTCAACGACGGATTTTGATGATTAGTATACCAGAATAAGATGTTTGTGATGTTGACCACATGTCGTCATATAGTTGGTATATGTAGCCATGCAATACATCTAGTTCGTGTAGTTGGTTGTACATTTCTAAACTTGGCATGTTTAGCCATGTATTCTGTTATACTTGGTGTAGGTGAATATCTTTTTTCCATTCGGTTATGTTATGTTTTTGGTTTTTGTTTTTTAAAAACTCTTTTTCACTCATTCAAAATTTTTAGAAATTGGTTTCCCTAAAAAATAGGGAATTTAGTTTTTGGAAGGTGTAAACTCTTTTCAAAGACAATCTAAAAACCATCTTATTTGGGTTTTTTACTTTTCTTAAAGAAATTCTTCACCTAAGATTTTTTTCTATTTATTTCTTTTATATTTACAAAAACAAAAATCCAAAATCTAAAATCCAAAAACCAAAAACTATAATCTAAAAACTCTTTAAAAACACACAACTATTCATGGCCTAAGGGTGGACAAAAAATCTTATCCGAAAAACCGAACAGAATTAAATCGTAATTAGGTGATTTGGTTTGGTTTTGGGTTCCTCATACAACCTGTTCACTTACAATTATTAAATGTACTAGGGCGAAACCCCCGCTATGCCGCGGGGATTTTTTAAAAACATTTCTTTAAGAAGTTGCTTAATTGTGTTTTATCGACTCTACTTCCACTACATGTCTACATGTTTATGAGATTAGTTAATCATGAACACAAATGAAAATTTGATCTTTCTCGCTACCGTGAGTTACACTCGCATGAGCCGATTGTGTTAAAAATTGCCCAACATCTATTAGATTCTTTTCTTTAGATATCACACATTATTTTATGTTCTTAATCAATAAGAAATCCAATTTGCAGTTATTGCATCTAATCTACCAATATTGAGTTTTTAACCTTTGTTTTTCCATTAACACCTCTGTTTTGGATTTATAATTGGGCTTTTGATATGATGTTATAGGCTCCGATTTACCTTATGTAAATCTCATTTCAGTTATTTAATAAAATCAGTTGTCAAAAAAAAAAGGGGTTTTTTTTAATTAATAATTTAATACATACATATGAAGAGGTTAATTATATAATTTGTTTAAATTTCTGACTATCAAAACCATTTACTGCTTAGAACACACACTTTGTGTGTCGCTTTTATGCTTGTTTTATATGTCAAACCTCTGAATCCACTGGAACATCCTTCTTCTCTTCATTAAGAAAGAGAGATAGCGAGAGATTGAAAAAAAAAAGAACCGAGTACCTCCACAACAATGAATTCCAATCCACCGTCACAACGTTGATCGTTTTCTTCTGAGCCTAAGGTTCAATCTCAGCTAGAAAATTGAAATGTGTGTTTTTCTTATACATAGAATTTTTGGGGATTGAAAAGTTTTTCTCAAATCTAATTCCAATTCGATGCAAGTGTGTAATGAGCGAACTCTTGAGACCATGGTTTCTTCGATCCCTGAACCTCTTTCTTCACTTCTTCTGTCAAAACCTCTCTTCTTTCAAGAAAAATGACTTCTCTCCCCAACGATCCTCTATAGCTTCCCATGAACATTTGCTCGCATTTGATAAGCACAAAGTCGACCAGTGTTTTTCTCTCAATCTTACTCTGGGCATCTCTCTTACCTTCAATTTCATCGAAAAAGCTCAGAGATAATATCAGTAGCCATCCCCAAGGAGAATTCTTTTATCATCAGTTGGCCAGAGACTATGAACTTGGTTATGTATCCGAGCTCCCAGTCATGACCTTCTTCAGCTTCTAATAAAGCGACAGATTCTGTTGAGGATTTGGTTTCTCTAGTTTCATTGTCATATTCATTGCGTGAATTTGAGAAACTTTTGCTGCTCGAGATTTGAAGATTTTTGGTTGTGTTGAAGTTGTTAACTTCCTGATCCTCTTATGCATGTTCATAAGAAATATGAAATTTTAAAGATCAGTGAGTCAGAAAACCTTACGAAATTACAAATATAGCGAATTATAAAAACATTGGTAAACTACTAAACAAGGGTAAAAATTGATGGATCCATCACCTAATTTGATCAAATCAATCGAAGTAGAAAGACAAACACATTTGAAGATTTCAAGATAATATAAGCATCAAACCACCATTTAAAAGAAATAGATAACTACCCACACAAATTATTTCTTCCTTGCAACTGAACTTCCATCTCAATCAAGTTGTCGACAAAATCGTCAAATCAAATCCCCAGCTTGACTGGATTCACGAAAACAAAGTGGAAGATCTAAGCAAATTTAAATTCAATCAAAAATCACCTTAAAATCAAGTTATGCTTTCTGACATTGGTAACCCTATCTCAAAATTCTTCATGAACCATTGTTATTATGATCTTTCAACCAAATTTATAATCATAATTAGAATCAAATTGTTTAGTCGTAAAAAAAAATATCAGAAATTTTTATCGTTCAAAAATCAAAACCTTTTCAATCTCGACTTAATTGGAGAATAAAAACTTCCTGCAATGTACTTACAACCTCTTCATTGATTTTAACCTCTGCAACTTCTGCCTCTACTACCGTCGCAGCACTGTTCTCGGTAGACTTATATATCCTCACGCGCCTAGTAGGAGAAAAGAAAATTATTACATCTTGCTTCAGCTATGGTTCTTTAAGCCCACTTCTCTCCAAACAATAAAGCCCAACAAATTGAAATATAATGACATGGTATAAAGAGAATTATTTATTGGCTGAAACATGTTGAGTTGTATTAATCGAAATGTTTTCATTGGACGACGATTTTAATGAGGTGTCAACATGAGAAGAGCCCAAAATGCTGATGTGTCAAGCCTGGAGAGATTCTTAGTGTTATTATTGTATTGATTTCGGTTAAAAAAGTAAAACCGATCTGTTTTTTTTTTCTAGTTTGAAATTGTTTATTATAATACCATTTGTTTGGTTATCGTTTAATTATTCTTACAAAAAAAATGGTGGTATATAACCTACATGAACAAATTTTCTCAATCTAATGTTATTTTCTGAGAAACTTTATATTAATACGTGTTTGGGAGGAAAAATAAAACTTTCTAAAATATTATATTGTTCATGATAATATCATGTTGGACATTTAATTGATAAATATGTTGGAATGTACTCATGGTATCACATAATCCAAATCAAAAATATATAGTTCAAAATTAAAAAAAAAAAATGTAATTTTTTTATAAATCATTGAGAAAAACCAAAAAAAATAACTGAAACCAAACCGAACCGAATTGCATATGGTTTTTCTATGGTTTCTCATTTTTATAACACCGATAAACCATAAAACTCAACCGAAACCAAACCAAAAAATTGTACACCCATCAAATCAATGTGTTTAATTAATTATTAATTAATTAATTAATAGGATTAAATAATATTATAAATACTAAATATTCTAATAAATTAAGACTCGCATTGCACTTGATTTGGCGGGATTGATTCTAATAAATTGATTAATGTAAAATTAGATTGAGTTAATCTAATTTTAGGTTCCTTAAAAAATAAAGACGTCAAAGGATACAACCACGTTCCAAAACCGTTCCAAAACCACAAGAAACAATCAAAAAGTATTTATTTGGCAATCTGAAAAATTGAAGAAAAGTGCAAGAAATTTGGCCGCTCACTTGCCCGCCGGACGACGTCATCTTGAAGCTAATTTTGGTTGGGAGATTAAATCTACATATATAATAGGAAAATTGTCTCTCCATCTAGGGTGTCCACATCATCATCCAAGTCATCATATTTTAATTTTGTGTGGGCTCCACATATTTTATTTATTAAAATAAAAAACATTAAAACTATAATTAATTCACACATTTTGTAATTTATATTACTATATATTATATAATAAGAGAGTTGTCTCTCCATCTAGGGTGTCCACATCATCATCCAAGTCATCATATTTTAATATTTGTGTGGGCTCCACATATTTTATTTATTAAAACAAAAAACATTAAAACTATAATTAATTCACACATTTTGTAATTTATATTATTATATTTCATTAAACAAAAACAATAATTTACAATATAATAAATAAAATAAAATAAAATTAGATAATTGTATTTTAACATATAACGGGTAAATATTTCTAAATGACTAGAGATATGAAAAAAAAACTTATCATATATTTTAATGATAAAACAATCATTTATAAGAGTTACAATTATTTAGTAGAATAAATAAAAATTAGACTTTAAAATATATTCAATTTAAAGGTTTTTACTAAAAATAAAAAGTAATTCATTTCTGAAAAATACATATTTAAAATTAAAAAATGTATATAATTTTTTTTAATGTTAAAGTATCAATTCATGATACTGATTAAAAATAAGAAGGATTGAGTACATATTCTTATTTATAATTATAATATAATATAAATAGTTACATTAATAAAATTTTCTATACTATCTGTGTTTTCTAAACTAAAAAGTTGTGTTTTTTTAAATCAAATGAATAAGTAACAAACGAAAAACTAAATATTAATCAATGTTTATGAAATTTTAACATAGATACAAAATTTTAAGGTGATTTGGAAAAACAAAAACTATCATAAATATCACAAATAAAAATAAAATAATCCAATCGAATAAGAAACTGTGAAATGAAATATTTACGAATGCTATTTGGAAATTAGAATAGTAATGATATATTGAAGAGTTTTTAATTAAAAGTAAAAATTAAGGATTAAAAATGTATTTTAAAATTAGAATGATTTATATGAGTTCGTAAGTTACCTTACGAAAATCAACATTAAGAATTCTAGATAGAATCATAATATACATCAAATTATATATGTGAATTTGTTTTTTGTATTTTTCAAACGGTCAAGATAAAGTACAAAACTTGATGTTGAAATATGATGTTTGTGAATATGAATGAGTCCATGTATGAGATTTGTAGTTTATAAAGCAATTTTACATGCACCAAACATGGTCAAAGAAACTATATGACAAATATCTCCCGTGATTTTCTCATGTTTACTTTAGTAAAAAGATCATGCAACTTATAAAAAAATATGAGTATTGAAAGATATGAATGAACCAATATATACGATCTATCTTGAGAACTAATTCATAGTCGAGTATATTATATGTGAGTCAATATAAAGTGAAAAAGAGTACATGTCAAGAGACGGCGAGTAAATCATAGAAGATAACAAGAAAAATTGTACTAAAAAGTGTGAAAAAAATATTTACTACTATGAAAAGATAATGACAATGAGTAAAGTAAAATATTTTTAAATTCAAATAATTCAAAGATTCGCATTGATAAAAAATTTAAACTAAAATCCCGCGCAACGCGCGGGTACATAATCTATTTGTGGAAATTAGAAAGCTGGCAATTAGACTAGAGGCAAATTATTTATATCATGTTTTATATGTATTTATATATTCTAGCATTTTAAGTAGTATTTTTTTGTAATACTCCGGTTTCAGGAATATGGTGGTGCATACGGAGAGGTTTAAAAGAATTGATTTGGTCACCTATGTCACCAAAGTGCACTTATCTTTTCGGTCAACTGTCCTGAGAGAACTCCACAGTTAAGGGTGCTTGAGCTGGAGCAAATTCAGGATGGGTGACCTTCCAGGAAGTGATTGTCGGAACTGTGTGAGTGAGGACAAAACAAAGAGAAAGATCATGTGATGATTTGTAGCGGACCGGCCGTCGGACACGGGTGGGTCCACGGGTCGAGAAAGGACGTGGAGCCCATTAAAATAGGTGTGGCGGTCGGGGCGTTACAATTTTGTAACTTTACGTTATGTTAGTTTTTTGCTTAATGATGTTATTTAAGAAAATACCTTATTTATGATGGATTCCATTATTAATTATTGTTATTGAGATTGAGATTATTAATATATATGTTTTTATTATTGTAATATTTATACATAAATATAAATAATTAGTATAATTAAATTTATGAAAGATTTAATTTGATATGTTTTAAAAATATTAATAAAAATTTAACATAAATATTTTAAAATTAACTAATATTAAATATATCAATATTTTGGGGGTATCTCACGAATGGGGATGATATTAAGTAATGAGGCTCTGAATTTTAAATCTCCCTCTATTTCATTATATTAGATATTTTAGGGATTTTATTTTGTTTCATATTAAAAGATGTTTTACAAGTTTCAATGTTAATTTAAATGCATTTGACCACTTATGACTATTTATATTTTGCAGTCTTTATTATGATTAGTTGAATTTTTTTTATCTAAATATAAATAATGTTTTAAAAAAAAAAGACCTAAATATTTGTGCATTTACCTTAAACCTCTTATACGTATTTTGAAACAGATGGAGTACTGAATATAGTAATATTATGTTGGTGTGGGTATCTAACTAATTGAAGTGTTTTTCGGATTCTGATATTGAAGTGTCTTTTAAACTCATTTCTTGAACTTAAAAATTCATTTAATTAACTAAATTTGTTAATATTTTTTATTTTCTATATCAACAAAAATACATTTAGGTGTTTGACGTGTAAATATACGCATGACTAATGCTTTTAATTTATGTTTAAATGTAGTAGTGATATTATATCGACGGTCTAATATTAAAATGACTTGGATGTGGAATCATTCAAATTTAAGTTCAAGAAAATAATGAAGGAAGAATGGAGCCAAAATTCTTACCAAAAACAAATTGCATAGATAATTTAGCTAATTACCACACTTAGTCTTCTTCTTTTTTTTGTTGAAAAAATATAAGTTCTGATAAGAATAGGACTTGATTTTGGCACAAGAAAGACGACAATTAGTGCATTTACCACTAGACCACCAACATTTTTCACTTAGTCTTCTTCGCATTGTGATGCTTTCTTCTCTCTGTTCCACCACTGTGTGAGGGTCCTCTTTGTTGTATACTTTTAGAAAGCGAGTTTGGTCCTTCAAACAAGAGAAAACCTTTGCTTGAAGATTATAAAGCTCAGGTGCAAGAAAATGGTCTAATCGTAGTAGTTTCATAATGATTTTCACGCATTGTTCCGCCCCACCACGACTAGCCACACACAAACGCTGACATAGAGAGTTTGACACTTATAGAAGAGAGAGTCAGACGTTTGGAACTAGAACATAGATTTGCTTGGCAGGATGCTATGCTCGCTAGAACATTGAGGATCATCAAAACTTTGGGTGATATGATGTGTTTCTCAATAAATTAGGTGACTCTTCTTTGCACTAGTCACATGTTTCCATAGAGACAAAGTCGAGGTTACTCGTTTCTAACCTATGAACTATTCTTGTAAAAAAAAAAAAAAACTATGAACTATCTCTTTTTCTTTTTATTAGACTATGTCCATCCTTTCACCGGTTTCTAATGTAAGTCTGGGGGTGAAAGATGTTTATCCGTTACTAATGTTTTTTTCTTTCTTTTGATGTATTCTTTGAGTCTTTTTAATTTTTTCTTGAGTCATTTTGTATATTTGTTATATAAATAAATAAATAAATTTAGGGAATGAGGATCTTATCTTATGATGA